ATTCAAAACTTACATTCTTTACATAAGTGGTAAATTAAAATTTATTATCGTTTAATATCGTATTTTTTTTTTCTTTTCATCGAAATCGTAGAGGGGTCATGTTCCAAATTACCAATTTTTTTTTTTTACTCGAAATATTTAAAATTCATTTTAAAACGTTAGTTTGTTTATGAGTTGTGAAAGGGCTATTATTGATTTATCGTTTAATTTTTAATAACAAATAACAATGGGAGAATTTGCACATGCAAATCATTCATTAATTATAAAAACACTTGAGAATTGTACTTCAAATATGCATATTTGCCGTAGCTAAAATTGTTACCCTACTGCAAGTATTACTAAACAAACAATTTGAATTATTCTCAAACTGTTTCGCAAAACCATTAAAAGTAAATGTTTGAATAAAATCATTTTGAAACATTTCTTCATAGTATTTTATCAAATAATTTTTTAATTTCTGAAATAAATAAAAATCGGGGAATTACTTTGAAATCATTTTAAATATATGTATATACCCTCTCTCACAGAATTCTACAGCAATTAAAAGTGAAAAAGTAAAACGACAATTTTATCGGAATATTTAGTTTTTAAAGTGGAATTGAAATTTGTTTATAATTGTTGTTTTGTTAATTGTTATAATAACTGCGGAATTTAAATCCAATCCAAAAAGGAATTTGTGAAAGGGGGGTTAAATTATCCTCCTGTCTTATTCATAACCAATTTATATAATTAGTACAAACTCTGAATAACGCTACAAAAATTGAGGCTACTCCATACACACACTTATAAAGTGTGTGGACTGGTCCAAATTGGTCCAAAACTATTGCAAAAATATGAAAAAAAAAACAAGTTCAATTTAATATTGCCCTAGGTAAGGACCACGTAATCCACACATGAGTTATATTAGACTAATCCCAAAACTACTCATTTCCTAAAATTATGGGAACATGATCCACAACATGGTCCTATGAAATGTAGTATATGGATCATAATGTTTCATTGCACTTCTAAACGCATTATGTAATCCAATAATTTTTTGCAGCAGAGTAGTTTTGGCATTACCTTAATGGGAAAAGTATCTAATCAATTATGAATAAAACCGAAAACTCATTATATCCTTGATTTCAAATTTTCCTCGATTATCAAACTAAAAAGTTCACTAGAATTTCTTTGGCTTATTTAATATTCTGCTGCCGTAAGTACAAACTAAAATAACTTAAATTATTTTAAAATTATTAAGTAGTATGTAAAAAGTCATTATAAACTAATTTTCATATTCTATTTATTTTAGCACACTGCTGTTGTTGACATAAAATAAGGTGCGTTTAGTATCAACAGTTTACTGCTTGATTTGTGGAGAGGATTCTTAAGTGTATTTTCAATTAAATATTTGCAAATCATGTGACAACCTACTGAATGCATTCAAGTGTATTAGAGTAAGGTGAAGAAAAAAAAATGTAAACATAATAACTAAGATTAAATTATGGAAAGAGCTATGGAGTAATTACCATATAATATTTAATATACCCAGAAAATCGGCAGTTATGCCTCAGGTTTTATCGAATATAGACCGATAGTCAGACCGCCCTAAGGGCTATATGTGGTGTTTACACAACATCATACTTGTTCCTAGAATGTCGATCATCTCTAAATGAAATGGCGAAATATACCAAAGTAGTACTTGATTCCAGGTCATCAACAGGTACCTTTCTTGTGAAAATGGGCTCCTCATTAACAAAAAAACACATCGACTTTTTCGTCGGCATGCCGAGTTTGCGGTCGATTGAGACTACCAGTAGAATTGAACTTAACTGCAGCAGTGACTGGCTGGTCACTCCATGTTAGAAGACAAACTAATCCAGTAATGACTTCAGCAGTTACTGTCAAGATGAAAAGAAAGAAGAGAGTATAACTCACTTCCTCTGTGAGTGCCCTGGCCTGCTGAACATAAATCCATCTGAGGTTGATATCCAAAAAATAGAATCCTTTATTCTTGCGAAAGACTGGTTTACATCCAGCAATTGGGTCGAAGTGTACTAATACGCTGAACATTCTTCATTTTACAGTAATCTCAAAAGCATCAACGTAATGGACTCAAGTGTGTCCCCAGTGATAAAAGCACATGAACAACCTGTTAATATAACCTTAATACGTCTTTATTTCTTGAAACAGCAATAGAAATACAATCGAATAAGCTTTTATATCGAGAACACATTTCGATGCAGAAATAACTTTATTATAGGTAAAGACAAAATCTGGAAAAGGAAAGTTACGGTCAATTTTAATCGATCACGAATGCGGCAATTGACCGTTTCTACGTTTTGCTTATCGATAATGAGTTTTATATCGAAATGAGTTTATACACGATAACACAGCGTACTTTATGAACAAAGCTCAAATTAATTCTGTCCCTGTTTCATTATCCGAACTTTATCTTTCACTTATCTCCTAATCCCCAAAATAAAAAAATAATTAAAACTCTGGCAACTTTGTTAGTAATAGCTATTTATTTATCTTTACAATTGAAAAACTAAATTTAATTTATTTTTGTAAATAAACATCAAACTTGCATATTGTTTGTATTTAAGGCAACAGTAGCGGTAAATTTGTAAGAAATTAGTTTTCTAACACAAAAACAAAAATACTTAGAAGTGGTCTCTGGTTGCCCAAACTCAATTTCCTTTGAATATAAGCAAATTCAATTGAAATTTCAGAGTCAATAAACTCATTATCTCTTTAAACACTTAAGAGAAAAAAAAAAAACAATATCAATATCAACAAACTCTTTGTTTTGTTTTCATTTGCATTTATTTCCCTTTGTTTACAATAAATTTTATCAGTTTATTACTTAAATTTTAAAGTCGAAACTAAGTTATTTTTAACAAATGAATATTATTTTAGTTAATTTTTTGTTAATATTAGAAAGTGAAAATATTAAGCATAACTTGACATTAACTAAATGTAGCGCAGTGTATAAATAAACACCTGCATACATACACAATCATGCATATCTACTTGTGTACACTTGAGGAAAAAGAAATAGGTGTGAATTATTAACAAGTAAGAGTGCTATATTCGGCTGTGCCGAATCTTATATACCCTTCACCACAATGTATTAAAAAAAAATCAATTCTATAAAATTTTAATTCATTTCATTTTCCCGTTAATATCATTATTAAGGCAATAGCAAAACGAACAACAACAACGCTAAACGAAATAAACACACGCAAACAAAATACACAAGGAAGTAAAACCAACAGATATCCAAACATACGAAACTAAATACACAAAAAAACAAAAACAAAAAACACAACGCAATGAAACCAACAGACATCCAAACATACGAAACTGAATACACCAAAAAACAAAAACAATATACACAGGGCAATGAAACATACGAAACGAAAAACTCATAAAAAAAAGCAAAAACAAAATACTCAACGCAATGAAACCAACAGACATCCAAACATACGAAACTGAATGCACCAAGAAACAAAAACAATATACACGAGGCAATGAAACACACAGCCATCCAAACATATGAAACGAATTCTCAATGAATAAGCAGTGTTGTTGTTGCTTATATCAAAACATGAAAAAAATAGTCTTTTTTATGAAATTTTCAGAGGTTGTCTCGGATTTTTGCTCATATCTCCGGTATTTATGGACCGATTTTGCTGATTTTAAATAGCGATCTTCTCGAAAGCATGTCTAACAGAATTATTGAAGATTTGGATCTCGCCGATATCTGGGGTCCTCTAAAAACTGATTTCAACAAACACACAGACGGACAGACAGACAGACATAGCTTAATCAACTCCGCTACCTATAAGGATCCAGAATATATATACTTTATGGGGTCGGAAAATTATATTATAGATATTACAAACGGAATGACAAACTTATATATACCCTTCTCACGAAGGTGAAGGGTATAAAAATATGTGGGCATTGACCACTTTTCTTTGGTTACAGTCACCATTATTATTCCCTACACCACCATAGGGTATTATGTGTTTGTAATTTTAAAAAGTACACCTTTAAGACGTATTCGGTAGGCCGAAACACGAATACATCAAATAAGCCAAGGACTTGACAGTGTGGTAAATCTGGTATGAACAGAGTAAGTCCTGACCATACCCGGACAAAGAAGAAATATTCAATGGTATCGCTTGTATAAGATACATATCTTTCATCCATCACCATTCAACCCGGCAAACTTTTGATTAATCCGACACACTCACTCTAGGTATACACGTGGGAAATATCCATTCCGTATCATATACTTTTAACACCAACTCATTTCCAACGTTAAGTCCCACAGTCACTCCTCTGTGGAGTATCTGTCCTCTCGTCAAAAGCACCGAACTTATCCCAAATTATAAACTTTACCGTGAATCAGTCAGCTACCAGGGATCTCTCTAATATCCAGGAACAAGACAAAGTGCTCTGTGGGCTGCCGGTTCCCGTGGTACCAGATTATGTGGTTCTCTGGTTCGACCCCATGTCAAATCATTTCAAGGAAAGCCGAGGATACATTTAATCATCACCTTTTTGTACCCAAATGTTCATGTGGATGTCAAAATTGTTACAGTTTTATTTACTATTATTCAATTAAAAACAAACACACATCTATTTTTCTTTTCACAAGTGTACTCAGATGTATGTATGCATGTAAGTATGGGAGTGTTCATTTATGTATATGAAGAAAAATAATAACAAAAATGTAAAGTAAGAGTTTAGTTTCGATATCAATGCTAGTTAATACATCACGATCTTCGTTTTAGTTGTGGTTTGGTTTAGTGTTTTATTTAAAAATAAATATCTATAAGAAAAAATAAAACAGATTTAATAACAAAAATTAAAATAAAATCATCTTAAATATTGATGATAAGTATTTAACTTAATAAATATTAGAATAACTAGTGTGTGTTTTTGTTGTATACTCTATTACAAATGTCTACATTTTCATTCATCCTTCGTTGTCTGCCTACCTAACGTATTAGTTGACAGCTGCGCTGCTGCATTGCTCTGCTGTCGTATGCCGGTGTAAAAACAACAAATTTTCATACCAAAAATCAGTTGTGTAGTAAAAGTGTTTGACGAAGGTTGTTCAATGTTGTTCAAAGTGTGCAGTGGAATGAGTGTGTGTGTTTATTTGTAAATCTTTAAAGAAATTTTATCTTAAAGATAAAATATAACAGTTTAATAACTAATAAGTGCTAAAAAAGAAAACAATTTTCAATATTACTGTGTTATGTTCAAATTATTGTGTTGATTTTATAACAACGGCATCATCATGTCACTCGCCACCAAACCATTCGTTTTAGTTGTGGACCTTATAAAATCAATAATAAACTATGGTAAAAGTCAGCTGCATAATCTATTTGATGAGTAAGTACCTACCTATTTATTTAATAATATTCATTTTACATTTTCCCCATGGACTAACATAAATAAATTAATATTCAACAGTATAATTATTTAACACTGGGTCAAGTAAAATATAAAAAAAAACATGTTCATTCACATGACCTGACTTTCTTTGTGTCTTTTTTGTTTTTGTTTGTGAGAGTTTTTTGTTCTTGTAATTTTATTGTTTACATTTTGCAGTAGAGTTACCAACTGTTGAAATTGCATAATGTAAACTGGGATTATAGATATGTATGTAAAACTATAATTGAAACGAAATTGAATTGATTTTTCTAATTGAAATGCAATTTTTGATGATTGAATTGATTAAATGAATGCTTAAACATAATCGAAATGCAGAATGGGGATGATTAAAAATATATAATATTAATACATAATGAAGTAAACTAAATTAGTATCGTTTTTAAGTAGGTGAAAGCTGACAACGGCGCCAATGCCTCATTTCGGCCAGTCATGGTCAATTATTTGAAATTATAATGTATTTACAGTTTTATTTACCATTTTGATTCAGTTTTTATCAATACATTTGGGATTAACAACCTTCAAATATTTGCTACAAAAAATAGGTCCTATCGTGTAGATTTTAAACATCGACAGATAATTAAATCCCTCTTGAGTCACTTAGACCCTCCCGTGTTAGTTTTGAACATTAGACAGGCATTAACATCCTATCATGATTTGAAATATTTTGTACATCGAACAATTTGTTCTATTTTTGCGGTTGATCCAATTTTTAATTCCAAACATCCTATTTTAATGCATACATTTTGAGGTTAACAAAATATTCAGGGTATATATATAGATATATTCGCTTCCTTAAACCCTATCGTGTTTTTTTGCATATTATTACGCATTGCTTTCATTAATGGCGTTATTATTTTATTCAAAATCAATAATTTCAACCAACGGTCTTCAATCAAAACAATAATTATTTTTTAATATACACAAACTTTATTTCGTCTTATCATAGACACATAGTACATATTATCAGTTCAAATTAAATTTTCATACATATTTACAGATAGATACACTTCTATATCAATTACGCTCTTTATTCAATGATTTTCTTATTTCTAAGTTCATTGATTTGATCTTTCGAATAACCCAATACTTCTTGCAAAACATCATCGGTGTGTTGACCTAGGACGGGAGGTGCAGTACGAGCATCATTCTTAGCATCACTGAACACAACTGGTGGACCCACTACTTTAACAGTGCCGTCTTGGGGATGTGGTAATGTTTTGACTAGATCAATTGCCTTAATATGATCATCTTCAAATACCTCTTGAATGCTATTGACAGGGCCAGCAGGGAAGGAAACTTTATCGAATAGTTTCATCCATTCTTTGGAAGATTTCTGAGATAATATTTTCTCTAATATGGCAATAAGTTCCTCACGATTGTTGACACGATCTTTATTCGTTTTGAATTTGCTGTTTTCGGCTAATTCTTGAAGATTAAGTTTTTGACATAATTCCTGGAATTGTTGATCACTACCAGTGCCAATGGTTAAATAACCGTCTTGGGTCTTGAAACTTTGATAGGGCACTATGCTAGAGTGGGCAGTACCCCAACGTTGGGCTTCTAGACCAGCATTGAGATAGTTGGAGGCAACATTGATTAGCAAGGAAACTTGTGTAGAAAGTAGATTAACATCAATTTTCTGACCCTGGTTGGTGCGTTGACGTTGCAATAGAGCAGCTAAAATAGCGCCATGAGCATAAAGACCGGTGGCTACATCAGTAACAGCCACACCTACCTTACTTGGGGGACCTCCACGTTCACCAGTGATGTGTAGTAAACCACCCATAGAAGCGGCAATAACATCATAACCGGGTCTTTGGGCATAGGGTCCTTGAGAACCATAACCCGTTAAGGAACAATAAATCAAATGTGGGGCAATTTCTTTCATTTGTTGGTAACCCAAACCCAACTTATCCAATTTGCCAGGAACATAATTTTCCACTAGAACATCACATTTCTTAGCTAATTCATAAATAATATCTCTTCCTTTCTTTAAATCAAGGCAAACACTTTTCTTATTACGATTTGAGGCCAAAAAATAAGTAGAATCTTTACTCTCCTTTAAAAAGGGGGGACCCCATTTTCTCGACTCATCACCACCAGCAAAAGGTCTTTCGATTTTATACACTTCTGCACCCATATCAGCTAAAATCATAGTACAATATGGTCCCGCTACTATGCGTGTAAGATCTAAGATTTTTATACCCTTCAAGGGGTGTTGTTCGGTAATTTCATTACTTGAGCTTTTGGTGGCAAAATTTTTGTGCTTCACTGTTATTGGAAGTGATCCAGCATAAAATTGTTTGCAAACAGAGCGTCTTACAATTTGTTGAATGGTGATCATGTTGAGAGAGTGAGTTTTTGTTTGTATGGTTATTTGTTCATTAATAGCTACAAAAACAGCTGTTGAGTTCCAGTTATCTAATAGTTTATATTGCTTTCTATTTTTTGTATGAAAGCGAAAAAAATATATATCCCCACTATCACCGCACACGTTTCGTACCGTTCTATGGGAAGCTCCCCACACTACTAACCAAAAGAAATATCTAATGTTGGTCTGTGGAGATTTCACTGGAAATGAGTATTTCAACTTGTTTAAGAGAGAAATGTCATGATATGTTCGTGTTGTTATCAGTGTTACCATATGTCAAGTTTTCCCTTTTTTTGCAAGTTTTTTGAGATTCAAAAAAGTTTTCAAGTTTTATTCCAATAAAAAAAGTTTTTTGAAAATTTATACAGTTTTTCAGTTTTTATTTTATTTAATAAATAAATAAGTTTAAAATAAAAAAACAATGTTAACCATTAACAAAATAATATTTTATACCATTAATATTCGAGATATTCCTAAAAACTGAAAAAAAATTGACCGGTGTTGATGACCTTAATCCCTTAGAATAGACGTTAAGGACACAATGCACTTCGACCATATTGTAGAGATTTTGTGCAGCCCATTGGTTCACCATACTAGGCCAAATTCGCGCATGAAGATAAATGGATTAATCGGTGAGTGTTTGAAGATATCATCTGGGTCTGGGTAAGACAAAATCTTCGTGTTTCGAGTTCCCAATGACGGGTAGTTACAAAAGTTCAGAGGTTTCCTCTTGTAGTACACAGAATCTACATAGATTCATCATGACATTTCAAGTGTAAATTTATGGTGTCTAAGACCACAATATCCAGTAATTCCTTGCTACTGGTGTTAAGGAAAAGTTCTGTACCAATTATCATTAAGCTATTTAAAATTCCTCAATTTGCTCATTTTTTCACTAATTTTTCTTGGGTATTTTGTAATTTTAGTACAAAAAAAGTTTTTTTTGTTGAAAAAAAGTTTTTTTCATAAAAATAAAAAGTTTTCTTCAAAAAATATATGGCAACACTGGTTGCTATTAAGTGTTTTTAATTTAAATTACCTAATGCTGTTTGGGAGAGAGAGGGGTCTTCGTCAGAATCAAAATAAAAACATATACCTAACAAATGGATAGGTACTTATAAAACATAATAATACAAATTGTTTAATTTAATAAACATAATTAAGTTGTTATTAATTATGATAAGAAATCATGCCATGAAGCAGGGATGATAGTTAAATTACAAAATATGTTAATATTTTTAGTCAATATTATGGGTTTTTATGCATATTTTATAATGTTAGGTCTATTATTTTCCAAACCGATAATCGTTTGTGCATATTTTGTGGCTGATTCCATTTGCCATAAATATAATCCGCCAAATTCGTTATTTGTAAACACAACATCTTAAGTCTGCTAATCATGCTGAGGTGTTATCATAATCATGATGACTAGAAATTATTTTATAATTTTAAACATTTAAAATAGATACAATACGCTCGCTCTCATTTTTGTGTTTTAATCATCAACAAACTGTGATTGCCATTTTAATGAGTGTGAAGTAAAAAAGTATTTCTGTTAATAAAACCAAATAATTTTTGTAAAATATAAAATATTGAAGAAAATCTTAGGAAACTTTATTTTAATTTATTAAACGCAATTTATTTGACTTTTTTTATTCCGTATTTAGTAGCGTCGTTGGTAACTTTTGTTATCAAAACTCAATCATTGCTATGGAAAGTTTCAATATAAAATGTTTAAACATATTAGGCATGGCAAGTAAAATTTGTAAATTGTACCAACTAAGGTTTAATAATAGTACTTTGTCACTGAAATCGTAGATAATAAGAAACAAAATTATTAAAGTAAAGGATTTTGTTATTTACTAACTCTAATCTAAATAAAATTTTTAAAATTTTTTGGTTTTAAAAATAGTCTTCCCAAAAAATGTTCATATTTTCATATTTTATTGGTGTAACATAGTACTTTTCATACATTCGATTTGTACAATTAAAAGTATAATTGTACCAGCTTTGCCATCCCTATTGTATATACAATTTTGTAGTTATGCGATAGTACTGGAAAGCTTATTTAATACATCAGTAAAACAAACTAATAAGAGAGTGTATATTTTTTAAAGAGAAAATATTAATGTTTGTATTATGTAGTGTCAATATAGCGTTTTTAATTTACTTTCCTCCGATAAAGTTTATTGGATCTATGGAAAAAAAGAAATTCCATTGATAATTACTACATAGGTGAATTTATAGGAAGTTCAGATGATTATTTTATTAAACTGTTATGATAGTAATTCCCGATAACCCTTCGGTTTTGATAGAGGTAATTAAGTTCATTTTAGAAAAGTGTCATTAAAAGTGCAAGGCAAAGGACAAATTGAGACTTTAGTCGCACAACGGGAACGCTGCTTGTAATTATAGTCAGTTTCTAAATCATGAATTTTTAACTGTACCGAAGTAATATGTAGTTGGATCTTGAGAAAAAAGTACATGGAGGGAAAAAAACGGTAGAAAAGTACCAAAACTGATACAATACGTTGTCAAAAGTGCGCTTACCACGTTTGTTAATATT